CAGCCGGGCTGGCTGCAACAGCTCTGGAACCAGTGCCCAGAGGATGCTGACAGCAGCCACCTCTGTCCTCTGACCATCCTCCTGGCTGCTGATGATAGCTGGGTTTGAAGTGCCAAACTTAGGCTGTCCAGAGGTGACAAATTCAATCTGTCTCTGGCTTCATACGCTAGGAAGAGCACAGATCTGCCTTCTACCACAAGGTTCCCAGGCAAGCTGCTGTTCCCCCCACCATGGGAGTATGTGGCTCTGCATCCTCTCCCTCCCTGCAAATCCCAGCTCCATCCTCAGGGCTGTTTGGCCTCCTGCATTTTTCACAGGTCCGAGCCATGAGGCTGTCGTTCGTCGGTGAGATGGGCTGGGAGCTGCACGTGCCCAAGGCAGACTGTGTGAAGGTTTACCAGGCAGTGATGCAGGCAGGAGCTCGGCACGGCATCACCAATGCTGGCTACAGAGCCATCGACAGCCTCAGCATTGAGAAAGGTTCCTTGCTTTCCTTACAGCTGCTTTTCCTTCATCCAGGAGACCAGGGGCAAATATTTTTTTCCCAGCTTCAGGGGTGTTAGTGGTGCAGAGATACTCCCAGCCTCAATGCTGCAGGCTGACTTATCCAATATGGGCTTGTTTTCAGGGTGCTTTGTCCAGGGCTAAGTGAACGAAGGGCAACAGGGGTGTGCAGGAGGCAGGGGTGATGTCTCGGTCTCCTGGTTCACCTCCCTGTGGGTTTGGTGCCACCAGGGAGAGGCTGGTGACCCATGCTTGCTCTCTGCAGGGTACAGACACTGGCACGCAGACCTGCGAACCGATGATACCCCACTAGAAGCAGGTTTAGCCTTCACCTGCAAGCTCAAGTCCAGCATCCCCTTCCTGGGCCGGGAGGCTGTGGAGGCTCAGAAAGCCAAGGGCATCTTCCGTCGCCTCGTCTGCTTCACCACGGATGAGTGAGTCCCACTGCCAGGCTCTGTCCCATGCCAGCAGCACCCATAGCCAGTGTTTGCCCCAGGACCTGCACCTTCACCATCCCCATCCACCCCTGTGTGTACACACATCCACACGTGGAGCTTGATTGTGATCTGTCTGAGCTGTTTTCCATGCTCTAATTCCATCTTTAATTTAAATCCCACTGCAAATTCCCTGTTGGATATTTAACGGATGCTGGAAACGGTGTGACGGGGAGTGGGTTGGTCTTATTTCACCCACAATCCCAGGAGGTTTTGCAAATTGGGCTGGAGGGACTTTACCAGTGGCTGAGTTCAGCGCAGGGAGGTTAATGACCTGGTGGGTAGTGGGAGCACATGGGCTGGGGCAGAGCAGGAGTACAGTCCCTCTAGCCCCTCTGCCCTGTGGGGTCCTGGTGTGGGGCATTTCTGGTGGCAGCTCTGCCTTGCCCTTGCAGGAAGGTGCCAATGTTTGGCCTGGAGGCAGTCTGGAGGGATGGCAAGGTGGTTGGCCACATCCGTCGGGCAGACTTTGGATTTGCCATCGACAAAACCATCGCCTATGGCTACATCCGTGACCCTGCAGGAGGTCCAGTGAGTACAGAACTTCCCTCCCCACAGTGGGAACACAGCACTGGTTTGGTTTGAAGCCATAGACACAAACCCAGTGCTATTGTCTGGGGAGTGAGATGGGGCAGCAGTACCCCCATGATCCCCCACAGAGGTTGGAGGGTGAGGGATGTCACAGCTCAGTGGTGAGGTTGGTCTCACCTGGTCCCAGCAATGTTCTCTGGCTCAAGCTCTGCCTCAGATGTTAATTGCAACCGAGTATTTAATTGTTGTAGTGAATTAACTTATGTTATAGGGAGCAATGGCCAACAGGAGCAGAGCAGGCTCTTAATTAACCCTGGAAGATTCCTGGATAGTTAATCAGATGCCTTCATTAAGCAGCACACTGTAGGCAGAGGCCAGGGAACCCATGTGGGGACAGAAGGTTGGAAATGACATCCCCAGGGACCCTCTCTGTGCCAAGCAAGAGCAGTACATATGCTCATGCTTTCATTCTCTTGCTTGCCTGGACTTTTAATCCTGCTTTAGTGCAAGTGTCCCAAGTCAAGTGGTTTGGGAGTCCAGTTGCCCCTGGGCACTCCCTTTTCTCTCCACAGTGAATGTTCCCCATTCCCTTTCCCCCTTTCATCTTCCTTTC